TTTGATCTAATTTTTCTGAATGAGTGATTAATCTTTTATTGTCATTAATGAAAAGCAAGTTATTCCAACTGTTTGAAGGAGTTTGACGTTTACTTTTTGTATATAAATAAGCAAGTGTGATTATGTTTTGATTATCAGATTTGTGGATGAGATCTTTATTAGATAGGATGGTGTGAATGGCTTTACTGCCAAGAATTACGAACATATCATCAGCAAATGAATCATCAAATCGACTCCATACAATATTTTGGAGTTGAATTGGAGAGATATTGGAAATGACTTTTTTAAGTCTTGCGAGATTCATGATGGATTGATTGTCAAGAAGTACAGCAAGATCAAATGATATGCCAGAGTTTTTTAGCGATTGAGTCTGCACGTAATAGAAACAAGTTAAAGTTAGTAAGTTAAAAAATTGATATCAAAATACAAATAGAAAAACTTTGACATTATGGGTGCAGACATTTGGAATGTCAGAGGTAGCTACCCCTTTACGTCATATAAAATGATGTCATACGTCACTCCGTATGTTACTTGGTGTTCTAATGCCTGCAGCCTTGACATGAAGAGTAGAATCTTAATATGCTTACCCAATTAAGAACAACTTCTTGGGTATAATTCACATTTGAATCCAATAGGTGTTGAAATTCGACCATATCATTATACTCCATACTTTCACTAATAAAACTTTTGTACATCTTATTACTAGCGTTATATGGAGGAATCAAAAATTTGTAATAAATATTTGTATCATATTTCATACAAGGTTCTAGATTATCATTTATACCGAACAAGATGCTTCGCAATAATTTACGATATTGGTATTCTTCCGTCTGAGATGTGATTAGAAGCAGAATTTTATAGTGTCCTGATGTGTTGCTTCCATTATCTTTATTATTACTATTGCTATTATCATTTCTTATAGATTCAGGTAAATAATAATTGCTGCTTTTATAATATGAACATATCATTATAAACGTTATCGTGAAAATCACAATGTATAAATTAGTTCTTAGACGATATCGTCTTTGTTCTGACGGAATTATCATATCAACTTTCGTCTCTTTTGATATATACATTTTTTTAAAAACCATTTCAATGAAGATCTTCGGTTTTTGATAGTAGCTAGTGTTAGCGCTAGTATAAATAAACAAACCAAAATTAATAATATTATTAATGGGACAAAAAGAAAAAAAATAAAGTCTAAAAATACCAAAGCGTACATATATATATATATATATATATATATATATAAATAACGTTAGTAAGTTTTATTTATATATTTATACGTATTTTTTAATAAAGTAATTCATATATGTGACTTTTTGCTACCAATTGAAACCTAAAATTAAATTGTTACGTACGTAATTATCTTTATGCTTTTAAAGAAATTTTGTTATGCATAGCATAGAGTAAATTTGTGGTTAGTGTAACTATAGAATCGAAAGAACGAACGCAGTCAAGAATTCCACAACAACCGCAATGCATTCGTAACACAAATTTTAAACCAATATACCTTTTTAAAATAATATCGATATATATACTTCACAATCGGGGTTTGGCCTGTCGTGTAACTTCATATGATTGATTAATATTAGGAATGTGTAAGTGTGCCGGCACATGGGCACTGTGTAGGTGTATACTATGTAAATGTGATCATATACAGTAATAGATTTTTGATAGGTAATAAATTTTACGTACGTACGTACGTATAATAATTACAAATTTTAAATATACATCAGGAAAATTAAATCTGCAAAAATCTGTATATTTGTTATAAAAAATCTGCAAAATTTTTTAGAGTTTGAAGTTTTGTACAGAATTGTATTTAATTTTTATAGTTATAGTACAAAATTTGAAGTTTTGCACTTGTTTTATTATTTAATTTTTTTGCAAATCTGCACAGAACTGCATTAAAAATTTTTTCTGATGTATGCTCAACTTTAACGGATCGATAATTTCGGATGGTAGTACCCTAGCCATGGCGAAAAAAATTCTCAGATCACGTGCCGTAGATCAATTTTTATGGATTTCTATTGGACGCC